ATTCTAAATCACTCGTCCAGTGTTTTGCAATGAATATGCCTTTGATTGGGTATGGTGTCCTTTCGAAAATATGCATTAAATGGAACAATCCAATAAACAATTCTTATATATATGTACACACAAATAGCCATTTATGTTCCATTTAAACGATGTCTTTTTCCACTGAATTTATCAGTAAAATTATGCTGCGGGTCAGCCACATAATCACAAATTAAAATCACTTCTTCCATATTAAAATTCACATATTCAGTGGTTAACCCACAAAAAAACACCATCTTCCACAGCTGAAAACAATCAGCAATGAGAAACCACTCACCTAATGCTCTTAGTTTCAAAGGTGCCAGGAATGTTTATAATCTCATGGGCAACATAAAATAGTATTTTCCAACAGCCACCATTAATAAAATTTATGTGGTTATATGGCTGTAGCAATTACATACAATAATCAACACCAATTTCACCAGCCACAATTTCTGTAAAAAGAAAACAAAAATGTTAATAATCAGGTATCCAATAAGAAAAAATAAATCTGTTACCTCTTTTTTCTGTTTTGTATTTGGATATCACCACACAAACCTGCTATGTATTGTCCCAAGCTTCTTATTGGAATATGGACAATGTACAATGTGCTGACTGCAAGAATGAATACACACCATACGCAGCTCATTGAAATATGAAGGGTGTGAATGACAGGTATGTGTGTGTTAGCACACACCAAGTCATACATATGTATGCGACCGACGCTAAAATTTTGGCGTGCAAATACACACACACGTACATATATACATGGTCACCGCTAGTTTTTGCGTACTCGCAAACACACATACCCCATAATGAAAATTTTCCATTCACACATTTTGCGTTTTACCTGAAACAAAAAAATGAAAATTTAATATTCATTGTTTTTTGGGTAATTATGATATGTATGCTTACCTGTATTGCGTTGCAATGCCTCCACTTAACACTCCCATTGAACCTCGTGGCCACCAGGAACTTGAGGGCTGATCGGTCAGCCATCCATTTTCATGACAATCCTCCAGGTAGTTTTTTTATTATCAAAGTCATGCACATCACCATATCCATTGAAATCAATGGCTATGGCGAAGTTTTGTTGCATGTGACTTTATTACTTTTTTTATTTAATAAAAAACCGGCAGCAATTTTGTTATCGATGTGTTTCGTGGCTGCCGGTCTAGGAGAAATAAGCCGGATGCGGTAGGCTATGAAGTTGGCTGCATATAAACAGTGTTGCTAAGATGTAATAATGAAATGAATCATGAATTGTAGTTAGTGGATGCGGTCATGTAACGTACATGAAATGCAACACTGCGTGAGAGTAATAGGTTTGGATGTAGGATAAAACAGACATAAATAAATGTCGGAAAATTGTGCGAAAAATGAAAAGGAGGGAAAATCATGCTTGGGTTTCGGGCATATAAAAGGAGCGAATGAGAGAAAATTCGCCATAGTTATTTGTGTCCATTTAAAATCCAATTGGATTTTTGCCCAAAAAAGAAAAAAAAAGGAAATCAAAATCCAAAAAAAAAAAACTAATTGGAAATAAAAAAATATATATTTTTTTCTTCAACGTTTATTGTGGTGTTGCGTGTACAAACATATGTTGTGCGTATGCAAAAATGTAAGAATGTTGCTCAATGTGTTTGTTTTTTTTTGTCGCTACAATGTCCTGTTTTTTTTGTCTTATTAAAGTTTAACGCCATCAAGAAAACTCCAAACCACGAAGAAACTGACCCCTCCCAAATATCTACGAGGAGGAGGTCAGACAGATTTTGAAGAATATTCGGAAGATATTTTTGAAGACGTTTTGAAGACAGCTGGAAAAAGCCTCGAAAACGGCCATAAAACAGCCTTTATACATTGCCAAAAATCCCCATTAAATTCCGTATGGAGAGGGAACAGAAAATCCTGGTGATCCTTGGTGATTTGCTCTGTCGCTGGTAATAAACACCTAAAATAAAGAAACCAGTAAAGAATATATTTAATCGTTGGAAACCAGGTAAAAGAATATTAATATAATACGTACCGATTGAAGATAATGCTGGAATAATGAAAGTGCCCGTTTCCCTATGCAAATGAGAAAACCTGAAATGATAAAAAAAGATGAAAAAACGTTAATATAAATTTTACAAAAAAATAAGACACAAAAAACTATAAAAAAGATAAAAAAATATAATTAAAAAAAAGAAAAGAATATATGTTAGTATTAAGTTGTGAATGTTAGTAGTTAGTTTAGAATTAAGAATTTAAATGATTTATATTTTGTGAGGATTTTTAACCCCTTTTAATTACTGGTGAGCTAGATTACCACATTTCTACGTGGAGCAAGAATTTAGTAATTTTGCGGACGCAATTTAACCGCAGACGTCACCACTAATAGAGCTCTCTTAGGTAGGTGTAGTTGTCTAAGGTAGCCTAAATTTGGCAGAGTAACATGCCCAACGCTAAGTGTTGGTAATCTACGAATTGATTCACACTGAGAGAAAAGGAGTTAGGAGTTCATGAATTGACATAATTTTTTTTCATGTTTTATGTTAGATTAAGGTCCAAAAAAATGTCAATAAATGATTTTTATGTTTGATTTTATGTTATTAGAAATTATGTTGTGTTAAGTTTTCTTTGTGAGAGAGGGAATTAGGTGTAAGTTTTCGTGAGGTAAGTGTGTGTGGAATTTGGGGCCCTTTTAAATATAAAAATTCGTTAAATGGACTAAAGGGTCAAGGATGGGCGGGCATAGTGGAGGAGCACTAAACCAAGCTCCTTCGTCATAGGTGTATGTTGTGTTTGTTTATGTTTTTGTGTTTTGTATGATCCAAAAATTTCTAGTTGTTCGTTCCCTAGGGTTGATGGTGGCAAGGGTTGAGAACTCCCCTGATCGAAAAGTGTTCCCAACTGAGCTAGTGCGAACCCCGCCATAACGCCGCATTAGGTCTAGAACGTAACAGTTTTTCAATTTTTATTTTGAGGATTCGAAAATATTTCATTTTCAAAATAAAAATAATTTGATGATAATTTGTTTGTTTGTTTACATTTTTCTGTCAAATGAGTTGACACTAGTAGAACTTACAACAACAAATTTCCATGTGGTTGTTGTATCGTTTTTTGTACAACAACACTTGCTGTTACCTTCTATTATTATACCATGAGGAAAATCTAAAACACTTTGGATTATTGGCCTGTTTCTGTACCAAAATAATTACTGTGCAAATTTGGAATCAATATTTTCATAACGCGCGGATGACTCATGGAATCTATTCTGCTTACCCATTAAAAGCGGATTTACATATAATATGTAATTATGATTTACTGCTGAATCAAAGTTTATTTTCTTAATCAGACAATTTATCATATACATTTAAATCATCGTGTGGCAGTGTTTATTTTAGATCATGATCGAAATCATCATACTACTGTGGTGCTATGCGGTTTTCGTATGAAAAATACAACTACAATGTTCCAAAATTTGCAATTGTTTTCACATGTTGTTTGTTTTTTTACATTTAACGGTTGCCAAATACAAAAATGAAAAATCAAAGGTAAATAAAAATTATTTATTCCAGTAATGAGATTCTTTGAGCTTGAGGTCTAAGAATCTCATTATTGGAATATCAACAAAAAAGGTCGAAAAAACACTCAACATAAATAAAAATTATTTATAGAATTTTTGTGTTTTGTATGTATACTAACAAACACCAGCTATTTAATTTTATTTTTTTCCGGGAAAACCTATTAGCTTTCACACATCAATACAATACACACATTCGCTTGACATTGTCCGCTGATCCGCACTTCACAAAACTTCACAACAAATGAGAAAATATCCAAAGATGTCAAAAATGTGCGCGTCCTCCAACAAATAATACTTAAAACGGATTTACATATAACATTTGATCATGATTGAAGGACATGTCAGGGATTATCTTTTTAATCTGGCTAAATTTACCATGATTTACCGTACAAAATTAAATCATGGAGCGACAGGGTTTATTTTAAATCATGATACAACTGAGATGCAATGCGGTTTTTGTACGAAAAAATACAACTATCGCACAATGTACAAAAATTGTCAACTGTTGTTTGTTTTTAAATTTAACCGTTGCCAAATACAGAATTTAAAAATCAAAGGAAAATGAAATTATTTGTTGTATTTTAGTGTGTTTTAAGTGATTTTTTTAATTTTAATTCTTCGTTTCGTGTTCAAATTGCAAACAAATATTTTTGCAGCCAATCTATAATTTTGTGTGTATACTAACAAACATTAGCTGATCGGTACTTAGATCATGATTAATGGTATGTGTAAACAAGTAGTGTGTATTTCTGGATTTCGTTAATCGAGTCGATTTAAAATCGTATATGTAAATGTACTTTTAATTTATTCACCTGTGACACCTTGTCAATATGCCATGATATCAACTGTTTTGTGTCTTTTGTAAACCTAGAGTAAACAACTAACGACGTTACAAAACCAATCTAGGGCCTCCGACGCCATTGCGCATCTATTTCGCCTTGCCGCCGTCAAACATTCTATTGTAGCTCGGTTCTCTGGTCGCGTTGAGAAAATTTTCTCAATTCCAAAATTGCATACATTTTCCATTAAAAATATACAATAAAAATTCTGTGAAAATGCCCAATAACCGAAAATAGGCAGTGTATATTCGTTTGCAATTTGAAATAACAAAAATATAAACACGAAACGCGGGAAATATGACGAGAAGAAATTACGTTCGCTGTGGGAACAATCGTTTTTTGCAAATGAAGAAAAATTTCATTGGGAAGTGGTGGTTTTGTGTGTAATTGTTTTTTCTTCTCGCTTCTCGATTTCTTTTGACGTGTTCTTAGAGCCAACGGCACAAACAGAAAGCAAATATATATTTTGCTGCAGTTTTCTTATGGAAAAGCTAACAACTTTATGGTTAACTAAACAGAACATTATTTTGACAATTTGTGTGTACGCGATATCGGAATAGAAAGTAAAGTTCAACATATTTGCCATCAACATGGTGGTCTCAAAAGACTCCAAGCGTAAGCGTAAGGAGTCATCGCCGCCGCCACCAACACCACAACAACAACAGTCGTCTACTGCTATAGAGTCATCACCAGAAATGCCCAAAAGGTATGAATATTTTGTCTATATATTCGTATACGTGTGTATGGGTGTGCGCGCTTTATTTTATCTTTTTTGTTTTCTTTTTTATTTTTATTGTAATTTATTCTATTTATTTTCCTCGATAATTTTTTGCTCTTTTTTTCTCATTAAACGTTGTGTGTATATTTTAATTGTTTGAGAAGAGGTGATTGTGCCATGCAACAGAACACAACAAAATTAAGGAGGGTGGCGTGTTGAACAAGTCCATGTATGTTTTTTTTGGGGAACCTAATGGGATCATATGTAAAAAAGTATTTTCAAAATATTAAGTACAAAAATCATTACATACATTCAAACGGTAAACTGTACATTTGTAAAACAAACAAAATCTTTTAATTTCGAAAGTTGCATTATTTGTTTAAATGTTAATAAATGAAAATTGCAACGCATTATGTTACGTGTGGAACTAGATATCAGTTAATATTTAATTAACTTAAACCACAAATTATATACATATGTATGTTGCACTTAATATACATATGTATATAACATATGATAAAATGTTAGCTGAATAATTGAATTGAAATAATTGAAAATTATACATGGTATTTTTAAAATTGTTTATAGGAGTTTTTAGATATTTGAACAGATGCAGACTGGCTTTTGGTACATGCCGACATTGGGGGCACTTACCCTATATTAATATTCAAAAACGGTGGTATAAATATTTTACCAAAGGTAGGTCTTTTTGCATTGATGTTCTCACTCCCACTTGCAACTGCACTGTAAAGAAAAACGGACAGGATCTATAGGGTATTCAAAAATAGGTGGACCTACACGGAGAATTATTTCCTAGAAGATACCTTAATTGCAGCCAACATTTTACCAAATTGCCGCATAACAATACGGGGCGGTTCGGAAACTTCTTAGCCAGCCTATCCATGAAAGAGAATAGGTAGTTTTTCAAAAATATTTTTATTTTTCAATATAATCTTCTGAAACTTCAATACACTTAGTCCAATGCTTTTCTATCAATTATATTAAAATAGCTTTCCTCGAGGTCTTCAAAATAGTGGTTTGCAACTGTAATTGCATCTTCATTTGAGTAAAACGCTTACCAGCAAGGAACAAGTAAACGTCACTGGGAGCTAAATAAGGAGAATAAGATGTGTGGTCAAGCAACTTGTACTTTAATTCGTTGATTTTGTCTTGATGAAAAAAATATGTGTTGTAATCCAAAAGCTTTCAAGAGTACTCTGAATTTATTTCTTTACCCTTTTGCAGATAGTCAATCAAGAAAATACCTTTGAAGTCTCAAAAAACCGATGCTTAAAATCCATTTTATTTCGCTTTAAAAGTTCCAAACAAGCTTGAGACATGTTCATTCTTAAGCCTTTTTGATCGACTGTTAATAAATGTGGCACCCATCTAGCAGAAAGCTTTTTCATCTGTTGTTCTTCATGGAAAATTAAATCGACTCGATAATTTGATATGTCCATGATATTAGTATTTTCACGCACTTTTATTCGTCGATCATTTCAAACCATATCATGCACTTTCGCTACAATTTCTGATGTTGTTGCTGTTTTTGAGCGTCCACTACGTGGTTCACGTTCAATGCTTGTACGATCTCGTTTAAATTCAGCAACCCAATTTTTTACTGTTGCATATGAAGGAGCACTTTCACCTAAGAAGTTTCCAAACTGCCCTCGTAATTGGGGGAGCCTATGTGGATGCTGCTTCCAAAATGGGTCCATATAGGGCTATGTACCTTTAGGTATATATATATATATATACCTAGAAAAATTAGAATATTTAACAAACATTCAACACAGTAACTAAAAAATAATAAAAGTACTGTACGTTATATACTCGGCATATAATTTTTAAATTACAGCCATTTTAATGGGAAATAATATAAGAATGTGGTATATTGTTGTGCCTTCTTTTATATATTATAACATCATGATGAACAAGTATAATACTCAAAAATTATAAATTAATAACAAAATATTTAAGTTCTAAAATTAAACATTAATTAAAAAATCAAGAAAATTAAAAAAACGATCTAAAGAGATTTACTTATCCCTAGTGCCATGTTTGTGTAGAAAACCTTACCATGATTCACAACAAAAATAATTGAAATTATTAATGAATTGGTCTTACAATTGCAACATAAACAATTAGAACAAAATTGCCAATTTCAAAATATGTCCAAATAATTAATTAAATATTATTAAAAATTTACAATACCCATTTCTTTTTTTAATGTTAAAAGTAAAATCTTAAGTAATTCATTTCAATTGTATTGGCTTCACTACATTTTTTTCATACTCGAAAAAACAAAAGCGGTAATGTTAACACAAATGCAAAACTATATATGGGTTATATTTAATTTATCACCTCTGCTGAATTCATTACCATGTACACCCCCACCTATGTATGTAAATACCGATTTAACAAATTGTAAATATTACAAATACGAATAAATAGCTGAACGATATTTTAACGCACAAAACAAAAATGAATTTGTAAATTAACCAGCTCTTAATCAAATATGCATATTTTTTCTCTTTTAAACAGGACAAAAGTTCAAGCTCAACGAAAATTTGCCCAAGGACAGAGTGCTCCCCAATCATCGTATAGTGCAATTATTGCTGCATCATCATCCTCTAATACTGGACCAAGTACATCGTCGGAGAGTCGTGAACCACCAACCGAAATATTGCCAAATAAGCGACCAAAAACTGAGGATTTCTTAACATTTCTATGTTTTCGAGGATCTTCAGCATTGCCGCCTCATTTGGATTTCCTGAACCAAGGTAAATCGAAAGAACCAGAAAGACCAACAAAGAAGCCTGTCAAAGCTACAAATAAAAAGAAAGGGAAAAAGGGGAGACCCCAAAAGAGTGGCAAAACAAAAACCGAAGAAAACAAAAAGGATGAAATCGAAGTAGGACCTTCGGCAAGTTCAAATAATCCTAACAGCAAGGAAGAATCCATTAAGAGAATTCAAGATGATGACAGTTCCAAATTACGCGATAAAAATAAAACAGACATTGATGTTGCTGAAGATGATGATGAAGACGAGGAAGAGCTTCCTTCATTCCCAGTACGAAAACGAGCCGAAGTTGTAGCAGATGGTAATCGACGTAGCAACCGTAACATCGACGACAAGTGCAATAATACTACAGACGCTGGAAAACGTAGATCAAACAGATCAACAAAGGGCTCAAAATTAATGATTGATCACCAATCAGATGATGAGGATGAAGAATACGTTTCTAATATCGACGACAATAGTAAAAACATACACTCTGATGGGAAAGATAGAAGATACCTTAAAACTCCCTCTCAAAGTGAGCGAAAGTCCGAATCTCCTTCAAAAGAAAGTGAAACAACGTCAAAATCTCGCAAGGGTCGGTCCTCAGCACCCCTAAAGAAAAAAGAGAACGAAGATAAAGATACGATAAAAACAGAAGCCAAAGAAAAAGTCCCAGTTAAGCGTCCAAGACAGAAGGAATCGCCAATTTTTATACCATCACCCGAACCATCCGGTCGCATGACTCGACAAAGAGCCTTTTTTGAACCTGTTAAAGTTCCGCCACGAGATGAAGACAATAAAGCTGAAGATGACAATGATCTCGAAACAAAGAATACGCCAAATGACAATCAACGGCCAGAAGTTATTGGAAACACATTCGACGAAGGGAAGACAAACAATGATGGTGATTTGTTAGAATCAACAGATCCGGAAAAAAATAAACCTCAAATAAATGTGTTTGATTTCTCGTCCGACGATGAACAGCCTTTAGCTAAAACCATTAAGCTGAAAAAGGCAGCTAGTGCAAAGGCAAGCCAGAAGAAAACAAATCAACGGTCTGTTAAAAAGACCTCAATGAAAAATCAGAACTCCGTGACAGAGGATAAAGATGACGTTGATAAATCTACGAATATCGATGTTGCGAAGATACAAGAAAATGCTGTTCCTACTGAAATGCCTGTCAGTGAGGAGAAATCGTCCGTGGATAAGATACCGACTAAGGGTAAAGGAAAACGTTCAAATTCTAATGCCAACATGAACGCAAACCTAAAGTCAGCAAAAGAAGTGGAGCTTGAAGAAGATGAAGGGAAATTGAATAACCAAGAAAAAAAGGAGAATGAAAAGGAATTGGCACCACCTTCACCAAAGAAAGCGCCGAGTGCACGCGTTGGACGCAAAAAAGCTAAAGCCGTTGATAACACAGAAAAAAACACTGTATCAGAGACCGTTTCTGTCGACGATAGTCCAACTCGCAGCCAAAGACCGTCACGTAAAACTAAGGAAGCAGCCACCATTTATATGGGCATAATAGGCCATCGCTTGCAATTGGCAGAAGATGAGGAGGACGACGTTTCGTTAAGTAGCTTTGATCGTCCAAATGTGAAGGAAATGGAAAAAATTGAAAATGAAATAAAACGCACTTCTGCTGAAAAACTAAATACTTCACCTACACCTAAAGATGTTAAGCATGATGACGAGTCGCCTCATCAAACGGCCACTTCGGTTGGATCTACAGATAAGCCAACAACAACAGGGCGAAGAGGCCGGCCACCGAAAAATGCAAAATCTGCGGGAGGTCCACAACCTCTTGCGAAACGGGAAATCGAAGGTATGCTCGTTAAGAAAGGTGTTATTGCCAAAATGACGCAGTCGACCGAGAACCTATGCGATGTAGTCAAAGACAATAAAACCGAGCCCAATTCAAAGGCTGATACCGAGGACGATGAGGACTTTTTGCTAAATGAAGAACTCAATGAAACCAAACGAAAATTGGAGAGAAGTTTCAGCGACTCCGATGACGAACCGTTGGCCATCAAAGCTCATGTAAAACCAAATGAAAAAGAAGGTTTAGAGAATTCTCAAAAATCTGCTAGTAATGCCCCCGACGCTTTGGTAATGCCACCTAGCAATGTACCATCTAATGTTATACCAAATGCTATAGCCCCAACTAGCACAGGCACACCACCCACAACTCTAACAGTTCTGTCGTTAACTAATGCAAAGCCTATTACAACTAACTGTAGCAATATCGCCACACCAGAAACACCTCCCGTCGGAAACATGAGTGGGGTGATTCCCATTGTTTCAAGCGCAGCAAATATCTCCGTATCAGTTGGAACTACAATAAATTCAGGTACAGTACCAACATCACCTCCACACGGGCCCGTTTCCAACAATACCTTTGCCATCCAATCACCAGCTCCATTAACTCACATCAGCACATCACAATCACCCTTTAAAGCTGTTGAAAAGAAATCTCCTGTACCTACATCGAAAATTTTGAATATACCGGCGACATATGGTATACCCTCGGCTTCCCCTACTGCCAACAGTGGTCTTAATTGTGGTTTGAATTCAAGTTTTGGGAAATCTCCAATGTATGTACCACAATCGCCGGCCCATTACCATTCCACAGCCCATACATCACAACAACAGCAGCAGCAACAACAGTCGACACCACCGCCACAACACGTTCGGCCGCAATTTCCCATACAGTCTCCAGTGAAGACATCACCATTAGTCGGACCTAATTCGTCAGTGGCAGGGCCACATATAACCACATCGTCAATGCCAATGCCTCCTCAAACGCCCTTGAAATATCAAACCCCACCCACCACATATCCTCCACCAATAGAGGCATACCCTTCACCTAAAATCAATCCTAATTTTTTAACGCCCAAATTCGATCGAAATACCCTGTCAAGGCCTGGAGGTCATCCACCGACAGGAAATAATAATAGTTTTCCTTCGCCTTCTCCAGTAAAGTACGACATGTCAGCATCGAGTAGTGGATTGCTAAAAAATTCATCACTCTCGGCACCCAACATTTCCATGAGTCCCAAAACCTTGCTGTCTAGCAATTCAAACTATTTAAGTAATAATATCGGTGCAACAACTTCAACGGCGGCAGCAGGAGGTGGTGGAGGCACAAGCAATGATCCCATGAAAGACGAAATCAGCAGTATACTTGCAGCCAATCTAATGCCTAGCAAAGAAGAATCCGGTAAAATTTTTGGAATTGCCAGTGTAAGCTTGGCTCAAAGTTCTGGTCCCGACAATACGAAATGTACTTTGGGCAAATGTGGATCTATTCATAAGCCTGTGCTGGGGCCAGTGGTGCCTACTGAAAGCTATATCGGAGATCAATTGTCCGGCAAGGAACGAAGAAAGGCCAAAGTTAATATGACGCACGAGCAAATACACAAGTGGCTAATTGAATGCTCTTCCAACCCCGACGAGATTCAAGATGATCTTGATGACGACTTCGATTCCGACCTAAGACCCAATAATTTTAGTACGACACCACCCCCCACGCGTGATGACAAAGAGAGCACATCATTTAGTTCTTCGTCGAAGGCTACCAGAGATTTGGGAAAAAGCGAAAGCGCTTGGTCAGCTAAGGGTCCATCACTGAAGGCAACGCCTGTTGTTGCTTCAAGTAGCAATGCCGCCAATAACCGCAAAGATGAACTTAAATTAATAGAGCCAACCAGTCCTCTCCAAGACGACGAAATTGACAAAAACTCACCACCACTTAACCAGCAATGTGATAAAATCGCTGTAAATAAATCATCACCAGCGCCTTGTAGTGTCGATGACAAAAATACACAGTCAGATAAGACGGATAAAAAAACAGAAAACGAAAAAGCTATGGGCAAAGAAGAAAAGACAGCTGCCTCGACAAAATCAATAACAAATGAAGCGAAACAGAATAAAGCGACCGAGAAGGGAAAATTAGCAATTGCGACAGCGGTAAACGATGAAACCACAACAGAGACCTCCCCTGTCGTTGCTCAAAAACAGCAAACCGGTCAAAAAACAGCATCCCAAAAAAGAGTTACTTCGTCACCGATACAGTCGACAACAGCATCCAGCAAGCCAGGTCGTAGAAAACATGTATCCGAGGATTCGGATGATAAACCCTTGTGCCCAAAACCCAAAGATGCAACTACCACCAATACAAACGTTGATATGGGGACTACAGTGGAAGCGGCAACTACACCATCTGCCAATTCAGCTAGCAACCGTACGCCCAAACGAACTCCAGTCTACCAACAAAAACAAACACCAAAACAGCAGCATTCCATTAGCAGTGATTCAAAAACTCCTACAACTTCCACTCATAAACGGGCCGGAAATTGCAATGCCGCTTTTTCTGCGGAAAATGAAAAGTCCATATACTCCTTCGATAAGGATGACGACGATGAAGCGGCGCCAGCCCCAGTTAAAACAGAAAAACCATCTACATATAGACGCCAAAATCGTCGTGAATCTAATATCGACACCACATCCGCAATAGCACAGCGTAGTCTTTCCACAAAACCGAAAAGAAATGCAGCAGCGGTGGCCGAAATTGCCAACAAAGAATTAGCGGGTGGTAACTCCCAAACCAGTTCAGTTTCATTAACTTTAAGTCCATCGGAGAAAAATAAACTCGTTAAGGTTAGTTTGGATGCGGATGGTAAGACGTCGGGTAAGACTGCTGGCGCGAAAGGAGGCAAAGGCGCAAAGAAAGCAGCCGAAGCTGCGAAAAAAATTGTGAATGACAACGATTCTGATTCCGGCGATGGTCATACATTCTACATCCCATTACAAGGTATAGCAAGTGGAGGTGATGGCGAGGGTGGAATTCAGGGCGTGGCAGTTAAACTGGGCCGTGAAGGACCGGACGGTCCGAACCAGAAAGTAATAATGCATGCTACCTTAGTGACTAAAGCCCAAATGAGGTCAAATACAAAACCCATACCAGAAACCATGAATGTTTCGGACATTGTTAAAAATTTGATGTCGGGCGATAAAAAGGGCAATCAAACAGCAGGGACGTCGACGGCTGCAGCGGCAGCAACTGCGACAGCCACATCCACACCAAACAGTCTAAAAAGTGTACCTATTGGTACTGTACAACCCCGCTTTAAAGGAGATTCTCTGGCTAGCCAAGCAGGACCATCAACTTCTACCGCAGGCGGTGGTGCTGGTGCCAGCTTGCAACGTGTCAATTCGAATTCTTCGTTATTCTCCGGTTCTGTGAAATCACGAAATGCCGCTGCCTCTAATGCAGCTATTGGTTCGGGTGGAGCGCATTCGACAAGTAAGAAGTTTAAAGACGATGCACCTATAAAAATGTCGAATAATACAGCATTCCCACGCCACGATGACCCCACACAAATGGTAGAAGCACCCATTTTCCGACCAACTGAAAAGGAATTTGCCGACCCCATCGAATTTATTGAACGAATTACACCCATTGCTGCACGCTTTGGAATTTGCAAAATTATACCGCCAGCATCATTCAAGCCTGAATGCCGAATCGCCGATGAAATGCGATTCACCGCCTACAATCAATACGTTCATAAGTTGTTGCATCGTTGGGGTCCCAGCGCAAAGGAATTGAGTGCAATTAAAAAGTACTTGGCTACCCAGAGCATTGTCATGAATCATCCACCCTGGATTGGTGGTATGGAAGTGGATTTGCCACGCCTTTATCACACCGTACAAGAACTCGGCGGCTTGAAAGAAGTAATTGAAAAGAAGAAGTGGGCTCGCGTTGCTGAGGAAATGTGTATACCGAAACTAGCTCAAGATCGTGTAACGAAATTGGACGACATATATTGTAAATACCTGCTGCCGTACGACACTCTGTCGCCGGCCGAACGTCAGAAGCTTTTCGATGAAGTCGAAGCTGATTGGGCAAAACGTGAAGCTCGTGCCCGGCGAAATGCCGATCGATTTGTGAATACAGAAAGTGTTTCGAATGAAGATGATGATGTGTCATCCGAGAACGATGAAGAAGAGTCCGAGGAAGAAGTCGACGGTGTCTCAATGGAGTGTATTGTCAAGGGAAGAAGTATGCCTTTAAGTCAATTTTATCGTATTGCCCGCAACACAATGGCCTTGTGGTTTAAGAATACCGAACCCACAGTGAACGAAGTGGAGGCGGAGTTTTGGCGACATGTGGCTGTGAGAGACAGCCACGTATGTGTACATTCCGGCTCCATTGATTCCTCCGGTTGGGGCTTTGGTTTTCCCAGTCCGGGACCCAAAGGAAAAGGATCAAATTATGCTCGTCATCCCTGGAATCTGAAAGTATTAACCAATAATCCGGGTTCAGTGTTGAGATCATTGGGTCCTGTAATGGGTGTAACAGTACCAACCTTACACGTTGGTATGCTGTTTTCCGCCTGCTGTTGGTATCGCGATCCACACGGTTTGTCGTGGATTGAATACCTTCACACTGGGGCATCTAAACTGTGGTACGGTATACCCGATGATCAAAGTGCCAATTTTAGAGCAGCTCTAACATCACTCATTCCCACGCACTGTCAAAACAAAACAATTTGGCTACCCTGTGATACTGTTATGGTACCTCCGCACATGCTCACCGATCGTGGTGTATCTTTGTGTCGTATCGAACAAAAACCTGGTGAATTTATAGTCGTTTTTCCACGCGCTTATACATCAAGTCTAGCGACAGGATATGTGGTCTCAGAAAGTGTTTACTTTGCAACCACATCCTGGTTAGATTTGGCTAAAGATGATTTTAGGGTAAGCAATCAGCAATATATCCCTTGTGTATTTTTCTTAATAGTTTCATTTTTTATTGTTATTATTATAAACAGGATATCCACGACAGTTGTGAACCCGCTATGTTTTCATTAGAGCAACTACTTTTCGCCTTGGGCTATGATCAGCGTGTTTCGCCTGATACTATGCAACAGATGTTACCTATGCTGCAAGAAGTCTACGAGAAAGAAGCAGCAGCACGGGAGCAACTAAAGGTAAGGCACAACAAAAAATCAATTGTTTGTGATTCGAAGATAGGGAATAACTGTCCACTTAATTTTAAATATGGTATAGAACGAACGTAATTTACCATCGTAATATTTTATGTTTATCGGACGGGACATAGACTCGATAAAGGGACGTCTGAGCCCTCAGTACGCCCCAAGGGTAAACTGAGCGCGGAGAAACCCCTGAAACCCCACCATCCACGAAAACTGAGGGTAAGGGACTGTAGTGACGATGAATGGTTGCTGGTCGACAGTTATCTGAAAGACCTTTTCCTAACCAACGAAGTTGATCGACGGAACCTACGATTTGGCCAGATCACAGATCTAATCCGGTTTGGAGTCCCGCAGGGTTCTGTGCTGGGCCCATTACTTTTTAATATGTTCATTAATGACATAATGGATTCTGTTACTGCTAATAATTGTTAGGGTGAAGGTGGCTATGTCGTTGTGGATGTCTCAGGTACACTATTGTTTGGAGGTTTTCGTCTGTAATTTGTGAAAGATCAGAAAGAGGTAAACTTTGAGCCTTCGTAAGTTTACCTCTTCCCCTTTTGCGTATTGTTTGTGCATTTGTCTCGTATTTGAAGAAGTGGGGGCCCGGTAGTACAAAATGAAAAAAATCGCTGTTGCAAACATAAATTTACTGTGAAAAAACATCATTCCGGGCCCCCCGGGCACCCCCCCCTGCGTACGTCCCTGGCGCTGGTACATATGAAATTTAATGTGTGTGGTTCTAGTATTGCTCTTGGGCTCGAGAGGGATATATAGTTTATTTTTATGTATGATTCCTTATGCTTCCTTTCCCCTCTACTTTTCTTAGCGAAAGTTAAGTAAAGTGCAGTGGATTGGGGTTCTTTTCTTTTTTTTTAATCTGTTATATTAGTTGTTTGCATTTTTTAATTTAATTTATTTAGTTTATTCTTTGTTTTGATTTTTTTGTTATATAAGTATATAACTTATTGGCCATGCTGGCTTTTTTATATTACATTGGATGAAATAAATGAAACCTCATACTTATTGTTAATGAGGGTATATACACTTTGATACGGTGAAAATGGCCTCATTGAAATATTGTTTTTTTAGACCCCATGTTTCTTTGGACCAAATCCGTTTCAAAAAAATTGGAGTCGATTTACTGCTGGGCACGATAACTCTCGAAAGCACCAACAGATTTCATTCAAACTTTGCACATCTTAATATTTCTTCCAAAATTCGTTTAAGTTCGATGTTTAAGATGAGACCCATTGGTCCATTCTTTCTGGTACCACCACCACAGAGGGTCAAAATTTTAAATATTTATAATACCAATATCAATGGAATGGAATGTCCTTTTTGAACCAAACTTTGCACAACCTATTATTTTTACCAAGCCTAGACTAAGGAGTCTGCAGGAGTCTGAACAGTGCTTGATTAGGAACAAGGGTGAATTTTTTATGGGATAAGGAAAACTCCAATTCCGTCTCAGCCAATAAAAAAGCCAACTTGTCATAGGCTGAGGGATGGCACTTTATCTGTCAGCAACATGTGCTGACCCCTTTTTATTTATTTTGTTTATATTCAACATTTAATTTTTAATTAATATACATAATAATAAATCTTAATGAAATCTGTATTCCTTTCTATTTTCTTTAAAGGCAACTGGTGTAACGTCAACCGAAAAAGTCACCAACGAAAAAAGTGGCAAAGGTAAAAAACAGCAACAGCCCCCCTATAAATCCATTGAAAGTGAATGTGATTTTTGCCGTGCAAATCTCTACATTTCAATGGTTCGAACCGATGAAGGCAATATTTATTGTCTGCAGCATGCACTGAAAAATCTCAACAATGGCAACATACAAGCCAAACAATGTAAACTCATATACGCCTACAACATCGATGATATTGAGGCACTTATCAAAAATCTTAAAGAACGAATACAGCAGAAGCGTGCAATTGGGAAAAAGCAAAAATAGTCTTGTAACAAACAACGATACTCCAATAAAAAGAAAAGGAAACATCCCATCACTAGAAAATGTTACAAGTAATCAGCTTTATATGATTTATTTCTATTTCGAAATAAAGTTAATCACATAGATTTCCTCAGAATATGTACATAAGTACCAACTACATACGATCACATGGAAATAAGTACGAATGCATATTGATATTGTATATAGAAAAACAACCCCCTACCTTTTGTATTGCTATGAATACAGTGGAACACAAAATACATGCATATACCTTTACATTTACACGTACAGATACACAAACCTAATCGAAGAAATAATGTATAATTTTGCAATGGTATGAAATAATACATTACAAATGCAATAATTTCATGCAAAACAATTAATGGAGTGTAATAAAATATTGAAAAGTAGGCATTTTAATTTCTTAATATTTTCTTTTTATACGATGAAATATAAATGTATTTTTTTTATTTTTGCTATAAATCGATTAACATTTTAATTTCTGAAAAAAAGTAAAAAGAAATAAATAATAGTAACGTAGTAGTTAAGCTTCTTTTTTAAACATACGATTAATGCAGCGTTTACATTTTCTATATTCAATGTTTAAAAAAATTTACATTGCATTAAGACAAATGAAAAACGAAAAAAATAAGAAAATAATCAACTATATTGATTTGTTAGATGATAAAAAACACTACAGATTTGTATTTATCCTTACAAGTATGTCATAATCATAATTAAGTTTCGTTTTTTCCGAAATCTAAAAATGGTACTTTAGTAATTTCCTTTTTTGCTTTAACATTCATTCCTACCAATTATAACAAAAAGTATTTTCCTGTGGGCCTGAATTCCTTAATATTTTTTTTAATTTTCTACGATTCAAAGATTTTATTTTCATTGAAAAATCTCCTTGTGTTTTACCAATTCTATTTTATTTCTAATACAAAATAATGAATGTTTTAGGTTGTTTTTTTTAGTTCATCCTGAAGTTATGTTCTCTCTGTCTTTTTTTATCTATATATATCGATGTATTATTATAGATTTGTAGATATTAACAAATGTGCAACAATAATAAAAATCAAAAAAGAAAAAAATATATTTAATATTGTTATATTCATGTATTAGGAATGGAAATATCTGTACTAAACTACTGACATTCAGGGGGCATCATTTTGTCAAAGGTAAACGAATGGGTTTGAGTAAAACTCTCGATCGAGTACATTCTTGTTTAATACGGTGCCCTTTTGAGGCAGTGTTTCTTGTGTCATGAATTCACTGGATAATAGAATTAATAGTAATAGACTCCGGCACTAGACTCTTTAATTTGAGAAAAATTGAGAGGTTGTATAATATGATATTGCGTTTTGTTTATAAATTAAATCGGCATGACTACGTCTCAACTTATTCATTACTTTTTCTGGGTGTACCATATATATATATATATATATAAATCAACGTTTTTTTTAATATTTTACAATATTGTACCCACTTAATGTCCTGTATCTTGGAGTAGAATTACAAATATCCGGCTGCTGCTCACGATAACTCTCGAAGTGAGCAACCAATTTCGTCCAAATTTGCACATCATATTTCTTTCAAACTTAGTTTAAGTTCGAAGATGGGGAAAATCGGTCCACTCCTTCTCCTTCCTCCCACACAAAATGGTCAAAATTGTGCTAAAAATGCATTTTATATCATGCGAGCGGGCTATCCTTTTTGAATCAAACATTGCACAACCTATCATCTTTACTAAGACTAGATCAAGTCCAAAGATGGGATCCATTGGTCCATTCCTTCTGGAACCTCCCCCACAAATGGTAAAATTTACATTTATTTATAAATCCAATATCAGGCGAATGGAATATCTTATTTAAACCAAACTTTGCACAAACTATTAGATTAGTTTAGGGATGTACGGTTGTTAGTAACGACCGTCCACTCGGAGACTATGTCCATTGTGATCATCTTTTTTTACCTGCAAAGAAAAGAAAAAGGGAGTGGAGAGAAAGAAGGAGCGAGAGAAGAAGAGCTAGAAAAGGTTTTTTTAGCCATGTCAAATTTTTAACAAAACCTAGGATCTGGTTTGGGTCTAGACTAGATTATCAATTTCATATATTCTAAACTGTTTGTGTATTCTGCAAATCAGCGATGGACATTTACAGAGGATATATTCAATTGTTTCTAGTTCTTCTTCGTCCTCTCATAGACGACAGTAAACCTCTCTGGAGTTCCACTTCGAAGTGAAAGATCTAATCTTGCAGTGACCTTTTATTATCCCCACAACGATTGTGATCTCCCTCTTATTGCGTGTCAGCAGCGAAGACTTTTTTGCGATATATATTTTGAGATTCTGCTCAGCCATCAGTAGACCTCGGATTTTGCATATTTGCATATTTTTTAATAATGAAGATATCGAAATTCTGATTGGACACAAATTCGTTTCAAAGGATTTAGAATTATTTGAAGGGTTCATATTTTTTAATTTTTTGCATATTTTGCATATGCACGAGATATGCAAAAAATATGCAAAATATGCAAAAAATATGCAAAATATGCAAAAAATATGCAAAATATGCAAAATATATGCAACATATGCAAAAAATATGCAAAATATATGCAAAATATGCAAAAAATATGCAAAATATGCTAGGTCGATATGCAATAAATATGCAAAATATATGCATAAAATATGCAAAATATATGCAAAAATATGCAAAATATGCAAAAAATATGCAAACATATGCAAACATATGCAAAATATGCAAAAATATGCAAAATATGCAAAAATATGCAAAATTTGCAAAAATATGCAAAATATATGCAAAATTTGCAATATGCAAAATTTGCAAAAATATGCAAAATATATGCAAAATATGCAAACATATGCAAACATATGCAAAAATATGCAAAATATGCAAAAATATGCAAAATATGCAAAAATATGCAAAATATGCAAACATATGCAAAATATGCAAACATATGCAAAATATGCAAACATATGCAAAATATGCAAAAATATGCAAAATATGCAAAAATATGCAAACAAATATGCAAAAATATGCAAAAATATGCAAACATATGCAATATATGCAAAAATATGCAAAATATGCAAAAATATGCAAAATATATGCAAAATATGCAAAATATATGCAAAATATGCAAAATATGCAAAAATATGCAAAATATATGCAAAATATGCAAAATATATGCAAAATATGCAAACATATGCAAAATATATGCAAAATATGCAAACATATGCAAAATATGCAAAAATATGCAAAATATGCAAACATATGCAAAATATGCAAAAATATGCAAACATATGCAAAATATGCAAAAATATGCAAAATATGCAAAAATATGCAAAATATATGCAAAATATATGCAAAATATGCAAACATATGCAAAATATATGCAAAATATATGCAAAATATGCAAACATATGCAAAATATGCAAAAATATGCAAAATATGCAAAATATATGCAAAATATGCAAACATATGCAAAATATGCAAAAATATTCAAACATATGCAAAATATGCAAAAATATGCAAAATATATGCAAAATATGCAAACATATGCAAAATATGCAAAAATATGCAAAATATGCAAAATATGCAAAAAATATGCAAAATATGCAAACATATGCAAAATATGCAAAAATATGCAAACATATGCAAAATATGCAAAAATATGCAAAATATGCAAAAATATGCAAACATATGCAAACATATGCAAAATATGCAAAAATATGAAAAATATAGGCAAAAATATGCAAAATATGTGCAAATATGAGCAACATATTTCACATATGCAATCATTTTAATCAAAAAAAAAAAAAAAAAATCAGGGTAGTTTTCGAATTAGTGTGCTTTCTTTATTTTTAACCTATAGAAATCTAATTGTGTATGTATGCGTTTCATGGTTCAACTGTTAGATTTTTGGGGCATTATGAAAAATTTGCTAAATATATGTATAAAACATGCAAACATATATAACCGTTATATGGCGATATACTAAAACGTGGACCGATATATCCCATTTCCAATACCAAACATCCTAGGAGTAATAATAATATATGTGCAAAATTTCAAAGTTCTATCTTTAATATTGCGACCTAGCATACCGTGCATATATTTTGCATATTTTTGCATATTTTGCATATGTTTGCATATTTTGCATATATTTTGCATATTTCTGCATATTTTGCATATTTTGCATATGTTTGCATATTTTTGCATATTTTGCATATGTTTGCATATTTTGCATATATTTTGCATATTTTGCATAATTTTGCATATATTTTGCATATTTTTGCATATTTTGCATATTTTTGCATATGTTTGCATATCTTTGCATATTTTGCATATGTTTGCATATTTTGCATATATTTTGCATATGTTTGCATATATTTTTGCATATTTTGCATATTTTTGCATATTTTGCATATTTTTGCATATTTTGCATATGCTTGCATATTTTTGCATATTTTGCATATGTTTGCATATTTTTGCATATTTTGCATATTTTTGCATATTTTGCATATTTTGCATATTTTGCATATGTTTGCATATTTTGCATATTTTGCATATTTTGCATATTTTTGCATATTTTGCATATTTTTGCATATTTTGCATATATTTTGCATATTTTTGTATATTTTGCATATTTTTGCATATTTTTGCATATTTTGCATATTTTGCATATTTTTGCATATTTTGCATATCGACAATGCATATTTTGTATATTTTTTGCATATATTTATCGCATATCGACCTAGCATACCGTGCATATTTTTTGCATATTTTGCATATTTTGCATATTTTTTGCATATTTTGCATATTTTTTGCATATTTTTTGCATATTTTGCATATTTTTTGCATATTTTGCATATTTTTTGCATATTTTGCATATTTTTTGCATATTTTGCATATTTTTTGCATATATTTTGCATATTTTTTGCATATATTTTGCATATTTTTTGCATATTTTTTGCATATTTTTGACATGACCCCAAATATCGATCAATTAAAGCATGAAACGCCTAAATACAAAATTTGAGTCCAATCGGATAAAGCATAAAAAATATGCAAAAATCCGAGGTCTAGCCATCAGTTGCCGACTACCTCGCAGTAGAACGAGCGGATTCTGACAATGAAATAGCAGCTGATTGTCCGCGACTGTTTATTTGTTATTCACAGCTACCCAATGAATAGTATTGGGCTTCCACTATCCGCGACCTGTGGACGCGTCCGTTAGCATTCAACTCTGCTCCCCGAAAGCGGATAATAACCTATTATCTTTATTATGTCCAAAGATGGGAACCATTGGTCCAATACTTCGGGCACCTCCCCCTCAAAAAAAAAAAATAATTTTATAATCAGCCTTATTCTGGATTTCAAATTGACATGAATTTACTCGGCCTTCCCCTTCGACTTATTCTGAACAACATTTTCCTGTGATTGTTTTCGCATTCTCGCTTTCGCCTTATTCTGATTGAAGTTCTAAAAAATCCGCTTTGGGGAAAAATTAGGTATTCTGGATTATGTTCTGTGCGAAATAAATTCAAAGGGAGATGACTAAAAAACATACGTTTTAATATTTTTATGAAAAATATTTACACAATACTTATCTATGACGATTTAGAATATTATAAATGATAGTAAGAAAATTTTTAACTGGAAAACAACAAATAAAATGCCATTGGAAATTCTATTGATAACGATGCATGCTGAACCAAATATTGCCAAGGAATGTATAAAGGTAATAAAGAATAAGTCGAGTTTGATGCATTTTGGATGCGAAATACAGACATTTTGGGTGAAGATCTGTCTCTCAAGAAAACAAAAATGTAAAAATTATGGAAAAACCAAATTTGCCTTACGAGCCGCTTAACAGTGAAAACTTAAATAAAAATTATGAAAGAACAAAAGTAAAGCTACAAAAAAATATTGTTTTTAATTATCGTTTGCATGATTTGAAGGAAGAAATAAAGGAGTAGGAGCAAATCATACCACAATTGGCCAATTTAAGAATTTGGGGAGATAAAATATCGAAATTAAATAAAAAGGCACACAATTATGTGGTAAAAAATAAACTGTGAATTAATTCAATCGCAGATTTCTTCCTATTATTCGTTGTGTTTTTGCCATCATAAAAATTGTTCTTTTATTTGTAATCTATTGTAGTTGTTGCACCAAATTACATCAAAACTTTGAACAGCTGTTTCACATGCCATATTGTAGGTTGTCATATTTTCAAACTTTAATTTATTTTCTTTTAATTACAAAGCATTTATACAGCAGATTTTTGATATTTCACATTTTTATTGTTATAAAGTTTAAATAACAAAAAAGTAAAAATTTTGTATACAAAAATCAATAAATAAAATATTAAAAAATATTACACAATTAAATTACAATAGGGCAACACACAATACTACTTAAATTACAATATGGCAAAACGAATCTTTTTTCAACCACCATTTTGGAAAACTCGAATCCGCATCTCGCATTTTTTGCGTCTCCCTATTCATTCTGAATAAGGCGAGAATGTGAAAGCGAAAATTTTTTACATGCGAAATATCTCCCTAGCGATTTCAACCAAATTTTGTACAACCTAATACTTTTGCCAAATGTAGATGTAGTCTGAAGATCGGGCCCATTGGTCCACTCCTTCTCGTGCCCTCCCCCACAATGGGTCAAAATTTTCAATATTTATAAATCCTATATTAAGCAAAAGTAATGTCCGATTTGAACCAAACTTTAAATAATCTTTTATCTTAAGGACTCCTTCTGGTGCCTCCCCAAAAATATTGTCAAAATTTTCATATTTATCAATATTAGGCGAAAGGAATGCTTGATTTGAATCAAACTTTGCACAACTTATTACCGTTACCAAGCCTAGATAAGTAAAATAAAACCTATGTGTAATTCCGAAGGCCTCCGTATATAATAAATCCTTTCCATGATTGTGGGGTTTACTTTTCGAATAGCATTCAGTTACCTTGAGGTTTTACATAGCAATCTCAATATTGCATATTCAATTTTTATTTTATTGTAATCAAACGATATTTTACGTAACGCAAGGATGATTTAAAAAAAATATTTTTATTTGTTTCATCATAATATTCTTAGCAAATTTTGTTACGTTTCGAAAAGAAGTTCATAGAATTTCTTCTAGATCTCGAACATGATTTTTGTCATGTCTTTACAAACAATATTGTAAATTAGTAAAGGCATTTAAAAAAATATATATGTACATATGTATGTATTTAAAAAGATTGAAAATCAAATAGTATATATTGTACATAATATCATTGAAAGATTTAGAAAGATGTAGTTGTTGTTTAACAATGAATCTATGCTTAAACGTACATGTTAGTGTATGTATGTATGTCGGACAATACTTTACGAAAATTATTGGTCTAACTTAACTTTTTTAATAGCTATACACGATGTATTACATTGTTCTTGTTCTTCATTTACAACATTGTCTTCGGCCAACTTATTCGTTGTTGATGGACCAGGGTCTTCAGTACCGCCACCATCATCGTCACATCGCCTTTTCACAGCTTTATTTTCAGTTTCTTCACTAAATTGAGCTTGAGTACTTGTGGCCGAGGGAGTTACAGTTTCAGTTGTCAATGGGGTTGTGGTTGTATTAGTTGTGGCATTTTCAGTATTGGAATCGGTTGTGATGGCAGCGTCGTTATTACACACTGATGCTGTCGTCTTGGCAGCATCTGGCGAGGCACCACCATTGATGTGCCTTATATTTGCCGATATTTCACGATTTTTGGCATCAACATCCTCTAGGCGTTTTTTCAATTCAACAATCTGTACATTCAATTCAGCGACGGAACTTAAAGCCTGTTGCAAACGTTTATATTGCAAATTTTGTATTTGCTGCATACGGTGCATCTATAAAATTATTTGTTGGAAATAATTATTTATTTTTAATGAGAAAGTTAATTTTTTTAAATACAAGACTAAATATGCTCTATAAAACAGTGTCCTATAAAAATATATGAACCTATAAAATAATTGGTGCGGTTTTGTCACTGATTAACGATGACAACCGATAAATACTAATTTTGAAGGGGGAAAATCGGTACACTGCTTCTGGCACCTCCCCCACAATATGGTCAACATTGTGCTGAAAAAACATTTTATAATATCATGCGAACAGAACATCCAATTCAAACTAAAAAATTTGGCACAACCTCATATTTTAACCATTACTGTATATTGTTGGAAGAAAGGGACCGAAAATAACAGTTATTTTTTTAAAATGCGAACAAAAAAACCTTCATGTTAGAGACATGGGACACTAATAGTGTCATATACCAATAGATTCGTACTGGGGAGCCCATTGAGGATATTGAGTGATCTTGAGAAAACACTCTCAGTTCCCATGTTAAGGATTATTTTTTAACGGAAAAAATAAACGTTGATTTTTAACTGTTAAAAATGATTTTTATTTTTTCCGTCAAAAATAAAAGCCTTTTTGCGATTTTTATTTTTTCCGTCAAAAATAGAAGTCTTTTTGGGACTTTTATTTTTTCCGTCAAAAATAACAGTATTTTTGGGACTTTTATTTTTTCCGTCAAAAATAAAAGTCTTTTTGGGATTTTTATTTTTTCCGTCAGAAAATAAAAGTCCTTTTGGGATTTTTATTTTTTCCGTCAGGAAATAAAACTCTTTTTATGTAAAGAAGTTTATACAACTTGTAATCAGTTATAAAATTACAATTTATAAATCTCTGTCCTTATTACAATAAGTGTAAACATAAGTAATCAGGATCAAAGGTAAAAAATATTTGTTATAAATTTTTAAAAAATAGTCTATTGTACCAAATCATGAATATAAATTAAAGAATCATTCCCCTGACTATTAGGTCAAAGGTTATATAACTGGTACCAAACTCTATATGTTTATTTACGTAAAAAGACTTTTATTTTCTGACGAAAAAAATAAAAATCACAAAAAGACTTTTATTTTTGACGGAAAAAATAAAAGTCCCAAAAAGACTTTAATTTTTGACGGAAAAAATAAAAGTCCCAAAAAGACTGTTATTTTTGACGGAAAAAATAAAAGTCCCAAAAAGACTTTTATTTTTGACGGAAAAAATAAAAATCCCAAAAAGACTTTTATTTTTGACGGAAAAAAAAAATCATTTTTAACAGTTAAAAATCAACGTTTATTTTTTCCGTTAAAAAATAATTAATTAAAGTGGATTTTTTTTATTTAGGTCACATAATAACTGTTATTTTTTACCTGATTTGATATAAGTTATAACCGTTACGGCCCCTGAAGATAGGACTTATCGGTCAACTTATTTGGTACCTCCCTACCTCCAAAGGGTCAAAATTTTAAAACTTTATAAATGTCATATGGAACGAAGGAAATATCCAATTTCATTCAAACTTTGCACATGGTAATATATATACCTTATATAGATCAAGCTTAAATATGGGACCCATTGCCTAATTATAATCGGATGTTTGATTTATACGTTACTTTGCAAATCGTACATTAAATTAAATTCTTAACACGTTGACGGACAGTAGAAACAAGTGAATAACACATAGTGAACTTGAACTTGACGGCTATAGACGCAACTGTCCGTCAACGTGTTAAATGGAACCAGAACATATAAATGTAATAAAAACCTGATAATAAATGACTTGTTATGATCGGTTGTTGATGGTATTGATCTATACGTTAAGTTTCTACAAGACGGCGCTACCTGTCACACAAGCAACGAAACCATAGCTAGTTTATCCAAAACGTTTTCACCGAGATCTTCTGATTTAACAACGTGCGATTTGTTCCTTTATGGCTACGTGAAAAATAAGATATACGACAGATTTTAATCAAGACCACGAGGTCTACCATGAGAGGTCTATCGAGGTCATAGCCACATTGCGATTTTTCGGTTTTCGATGGTATTGATCTGTACAACGTTAATTTTCAACAAGACGGCGCTACGTACGTACTGCGTACTCGTGGTGGCAATTTTGCTGATATATGTTCTGTTCCAGTACCTTTTTTAATAGTAAAGCTTGTATATGAGAATAATGTCACAATCACTCTCAGAGTACAAAAAAAATCGAAAAGTTCGGGAACGGAAGTTCCTAGTAAAATATTTCAGAATTAGTTGACATTATTTAAAAATCTGTTTATTATTTTTACTCGCCCAAATTTTCGAGTTAAAAGTTTACAAAGAGAACGTCATTTTGTTTTGTGTTCTATTAATGCGCATAAAGATGGATTACGGGATGGAAACATCGTATGTCCCAGAACTTCATTTTGTTAAGAATTTACGAGAACGAAAATGTACGGTAGCGATCTCACTTGATGTTGAAAAAGCTTTTGATCGTGCATCACATTTAGGTGTCCTCTACAAAATGGCTCAACAGCAATTTGATCCGTTCGTTATTAAACTCTTCCAAAGTTAATTTTCAAATAGAAAGTTTGTATAGAATTTAACCGCATTTTATCTGAGCTAGATAACGTTAGTTGTGGTGTTCCCCAAGGATCTATTTTATCACCGCATTTATACAGCATTGTTATACATGATGTTTACTCCACTGGAATTATTATATTGTTTTTTTTTTTAATATTGCAATATATTAGGTTGGGGAAATAGAAATCCATTATTTTTTCGGCAGATGGCTGTACTGAAAGATTTTTTGTTAAGTATCGACCAAACAATTGCGATTTATGCTCGTTGGAAGGGTGACATTTCGCAGTAAAAAATATTTTGCTGTTTTTTTTTTTTTTTTGCCTTACAGAATGTTAAAAATGGAAGTGGACAAAGAAAAAATTCGGTACAATTTAGAGTTTTTCTTTGTAAATGGTTTTTATGGTTCCAATACTATAACAGCCAATTGTGTGCAATTTTAGTTTCGTAGATTCCGTTCAGAATCTCGCACTGGTAGGTCAGACGTCGAAAATGTCAATAACATCGGAAAAATGAGAAATGTCCCCCAATCTAATATTTATTTGAGAGAGCAAACTCAATCAGCAATGTTATTGAGTTATTTTAAGTAAAAAGTTATCGTACACGCATAATGTAAGTACACCGATGATGTACATATTCCTTCGTCCATCCAATGATTGTATTTCAGGTTCAAAAATACAAACTCAGCTTGATTTCAATAATTTGTATTCTCATCTCTAACAAAATGATTCGCAGATCTTAGAATAGAATGTCTAATAGTACATTTACATTGTACTGGATTTAGTAAATCATTTTTTTTTTTTAATATCATATACGCCAAGTATATGGTCGTTTTCATCAAGATAGCAATCAAGCTAAGGAGTGTAATCGAACACGACATAGTTGAATAACCTGGACGCCTTAACTAATAAGACTCAACTGCAGTAGTAATGGACTATACTCTACCTTTTACAAAACTCTGACTTTTGCGCTGTTACAGTTAGAATCAATAATTTATCGAAATTTAATTTGATTTTTCCTTACAAATTCGAAAAGTTTTGCCAGTTTTTTTACGGGAACACACACTTATTATAACCAATATATTGAAATTCTAGCTTAAGTTTACGAATATGAGATCAAAGTGGCATTAAATAGTATTTTCATAATTTTTTCTATATATAATTCCCTGAATATTTTCTTCCAATATACATTTATATACAATATTTGCGTATACAAATATTGCGTATTTTTTTAATACACGTGTAGTAAATATTTATATTTATGTATATTCAATGCATATATCAATCAAACCATACTCATACGTATTTAGTTAATCCCAATAGTTTTAGGGGAAAGGATATTTTCTAGTTGTGTAATGTAGTATTCTATGTGCATGTGCATATGTGATTGTAAAAGGTTAGGTTAGGATTTATATTCGAAAAATGTTCGCAGCAATAAATCTTTATAATAATTATGTTAAGTAAACTATTTTCTTTCTTATATAAGTCTTGATTTAGATTAGGCGAGTTTACTTGCGGCAAGTCTTTGTTTGAAGGAGAGAGGAGCAAGGGGAATAGAAATGGAAAAAATTGCTCGTACCGACAATTTTCTGGCAATTCGTTTTGTGTATTTCGTATTTGTTGACATTTTATATATATTTAAATGTGAAAAAACAACAAATAAAAAAAATTTTTGGAAACCGAATTGCCTTGTATAGACGCATGGAGCAAGTTCAAAAGAGAACGATAAAAATTGCCGCAAGTAAACTCGCCTAATATAAATCAGGACTAATTGTAAACCAGTTTATTAAATCTCCGTTTCTTCAATGTCAAGTTTTTCATTTCAGCAGGAAAAAATTACAAATGAAATATTTATGTATTTCAGTTATAAGGTTGGCGTAGCACTGAAAGCGTGATATCGTATCGCTGTCAGCTAAACTACTAGTTTCCATTCAAATGTTTTCATAAATTGTCAAAATTACACTAGCCTACAATGTTATATATTTGGAATAGGTGTTACTTGTATTGAAAGTATGGTTATGTTGAATATACATTTTGATAGATATGTAATCATGTTTTGCTAACGATGAGTCATCGATGTTGTCTTGCTCAATGACAAATTTATATAATTTACATTCGAAATTGTTGCCTATTTGCTTTCAGTTTAAAAATGACTACAAAATATTTTCGGAATTGTATACCTGTGTTGTTAATGACATTTATATAAGAATATAGGTATGTCAATATTGGATATTTTTAAAATGTTCTAGAAAAAATGTTTTGTTGAACAAAAAAATGGACAAGACATTCATAGGAGTGTATTATTGAAATATTTAATTAGACCTCCACCAAAAATACAATCAAAACAATTTCTCAATTGTTTGGGTATTTGAAATTAATTGATTATTTAAAATCGCAGGTTTATAACAAATACATTAAACCTTTACAAAATTCGTATTTTATAGAAAATAAGGGATTTATTGAAATCTAAAAGAAATAGTTGTCATTATAATCGCAATTATATCGTTAGCCTTTATCGGTATTTCCAAACTCAAGCAATTTTCATTACCACAATTAACACATCTCATTGTCCAGGACTGTACCTGCTTAGCAATTCCATATTAAATTTAATTAAAAAATCAAAACAATTTGTGTAGACGTACACAAATTCAAAACAATTATTCTTTATTAATAAGTTTTGCTAAAAAAATAATTTAATTTATCAAAAAATAGGTGTCCTTGTATTTAACTTCGCCGTATTGCAGGAGCTCCATTTGAAATATTAGACATGTTATAGTGCAGTTCTTAACCTGAGTTTATTTTTTCAGGTTTAGTATTGAGGCCATTGAAGATTTGCCCCATAACATTTCTTATTTGATGTTCGCCGCCGTACAACAGGAGCTCCATTTCGTTTCTATGACAGATTAGAGTACAAATAAAACCCATATCGCTTAAGTTTGTCGTGATGTGTATCGATCAAGGGATTTACTTTTTCATATATCCCATATTAATGCTATCCATGGTGGAGGGAATTAAAAGTATTATTTCAGGTAAATATTTCAATATTTGCTCAATACGATGCTTTTCGTGTCATATCATTTTTTCGAAACCATCCATGTGATGATTAACAGTTGATATATTATTCCGAAGTTAGGTCATAAAATCTTTACCATATCCAATAGCATCGTTCGTAAAAATTTGTGTTTACCAATTATACATTTTTGTTCGCCTCGTGTATAAAATATATTTCTTTTTTAATTTACACATATGGCAACTCAACAAACCAGATGCTGTTCTGAAAATTTGTGAAATAATAAAACTGCATGTCGATAAAGACAGAAAAGACGGCGCCCTCGCTCTTATTCGGATATAAACATTTGTTTATTTCTGGCCACGTTTTATGAATAAAAATTCAAAGAAATGAAGTATCTGCATCGAAATCCCTAAATCAATTGATGAATTATCACAAATAATACAAGCTAACCAATGAAACTATATCTAACGAAAATAAAAACAAAATGTTTTACTATGAAAAAAAATTGGATATAGAAATTTGATAATATTTGCTTATTATTTTACTAAAAATAATAAAGCGAATAACAATTATTGAGACCATTTGAAGGCTAGTGTTCATTTGACATTCAGTGTAGCATTTAAGTTGACATGAATTAAGTGACCACAGCTGATAAGTTTCAATCACTTTAATTTTAAAGTATGGATGATCGGTGTAATATAGTTTAAAAATTGAAATCGTATTTAAAATCACTGGTAGGTTATTTTAAAAAAAGAGTGCTTGTAGAAATGCCAATTTGAAAATAATTGTAATACAGTTATGTATTCCGTGCGCATACGTATGCACAAATCTGTTTAACCTCAAGGTAATCTGTGGTACGTAGACCAAAATATTAAACATTTTTGAGCCGACTTCGGACATATGTATGTGCATACACATGATATTACTAGATAAAGGGTCAAAATTGCACCCTACATATACGACTAGACTTCACATTCCCACATTACTTGTATCTACGAAAATAACTACTTTCAACTTGAAATATATGTACAAAGGCAAAATTACCTTAACCACACCCTTTTTATAATCGGCTTCAAGTTTCTTGCAATACATCATTGCTGATCGAGCCTCTGGACAATCGCCTGGAGGATGTGTTACAGCGTGATGGCGTTCACCACCACCACCATAATATGCTGACGACGTTGATGGTGACTGCTGGTCGGCATTAATGCCAGCACCACTATTGCTGGCTGCGGGCTTTAATGTACTTCCTAAACGATGAGGAAGAGGTTCCAAAACATATTCATTACTACCATAGATGTAAGGTGTTACAAACGGCGGGGATGAAGCTCCCATACCACTGAACGAAATATTACCCAGACCGGTATTGCTGGGAGTCAAACGTCTGATCTCGGGACAGCACATTTTATTACTACTTCCGCTATTGCTGCTGTTGTCTGCAAAAGTTTTCTTCAATTGATGCACAATTTTTTCATCGAAATGTTCTATGGCCATCGATGAAATATCTCGCAATTCTTGAAGCACCTCATGGGGCCTAAGCGGTTTGTTGCTTTTGGCTATCAAACGCAATATACGAAATATTTCATCCAGAACTTTTCCAGGAATAAAGCAGCACAAATTCAAGTCCATATATTTGGAATAGGTCATTGAGAGCATCGATATGCGCGTCTCTATGGAAGTAAGAATATCTGCATGCCGAGCCAGGCAGTGATTTCTAAACGCAGCAACAATAACGTATATATACATAGAAATGACCTTGTCAAAATTTTGTACAGGAATCTTCTTACCGTCGCTCCGATTCTCTGCGGGGCAGAAGAGCTTTTATTCGTTTAAAGTTAATCGAATGTTGTTTTATGACTTTATTAAACCCTCCGTTTAATACTTGCTGGCATATGTGGTCAAAACGTCGGCAAACCTAGGGAATACACAAATGAAAGCGTGGATGCATTTGTATGAATGCACGCCACAGTATTATGTGTTTGTTTGTTTACATCAAAAACACTGACGAACTTCATCTTACCAGTCTTTTCTTTGAAACTTCATCGTAACTGAGATATTCAAATATCTCCATTAACACCACGTTGGGCAAGTCCAATATATTGAGTGGATTTTTTCCACACATTTTTAATGTGGAAAAATAAATTTTCCGCACCAATTTAATAAAAACAATAATCCGATTCGCTATTTAGTCTAGAATGTTTTCAAACGATATATTTAACGAAGGCAAAGAAGCTAAAATTTGCAAACTGAACGAAAAATGCTGCTTAGTGGAGGCATTGACGTAACGTGATGTAGCAAGATAACAGCTGATTGCGTACGAAGATAATAGACATTGTAATTATACAACAACGTAATGTGGATGTGTATGCTCAGTACCGCTGAATTATAAATGAAATGAATATAAAATAGCATTGTTTAAACACGACGATTTCTTTACTTTCACTAGATTTTATTTCTTCTTATGAAACGAGACGATTAAAACCGTTCAGAAAAAAATGAATCGCAGACTCATTTCATCGATACGATCCACGGTATAATAATAGAAGGTAACAGCAAGTGTTGTTGTACAACAAACGATACAACAACCACATGGAAATTTGTTTTTGTAAGTTATACTGGTGTCAATGTCGTTTGACAGAAAAATGTAAACAAACAAATAAATTATATTTATTTTGAAAATAAAATATTTTCGAATCCTCAAAATAAATTTTGAAAAACATGAATGAAAATCTATCAAATTCATATTTCTATCGCTTCCACAACTTTCCTATAATTGATCTATTGCCACTTATATGTGTAATACATATGAAAATGCAGGGAATTGCGAGTTATTCAATGAACAAGGATTTGCTTCCTCAAACTTTCCCAACAGGCATATTGAGTAAAATGAATACGTGAGGACATTTAATAAAGAACAATTTCGAATTGTATGCGTTCCCAATTTTCCTTTTGGGTGATTTTTAAAAACATAATTTGTCAAATTCATATTGACACTAGTATTACGTTGGAATCAAATCAGCTGGGACTTGCTGTTACCTTGTATAATTGTACCATGGATACGATCGGAAAAAACGAGCGGAAAAAACGAACAATCGCTCAAGTTAAGTCCCGTTTAGACTATATGAAAAATTATCATTATTTACTATACTACATCTCGATTTGTACTAAATTATTATCTAAGTTGTAATGAAATGGATCTCTGGGTTTATTCTGGGTTCATGAAAATTGAATTTATGACAAATTGTCTGAAATTGTCTTTTATAAATATTTTCATGCTGTCAAAATTAATTTTGATAAATACCATGGTACAATTATAAAAGGTAACAGCAGAACCAAGCTTATTTGATTCCAACGTAATACTCATGGTACAATAATACAATGTAGGGAAGCTTGAGGTGAATAACAAAAAAGCAACTATGCACGTGTGGCTTCTTCAGCCAAAAATAAAATAAATATTCGCAACAAGTGTTTGTGTTTCTTTGATATTTTTTCAACATAAAACAAGAAACGCGAAAAATGAATGTAGGGTTATGATTTCTTCCCAAAATCCAGCAGGATATACCATAAAATGTTTGTTTTATCCAGAACAAAGTAATTACTTCCAGACGAACGTGTTTAAAACATTATTTTCATTTCAATTAAATTTTCATATATTTCAATTTATTTGACATAGTATTCAAAACAATACACATACATACACAAAATATGTATTTTGATTTGATGGAACAAGCCAACTTGAGAAAAAATTGTAATCAGTTGGTACCTGTGCCCTACCTTGTAATAATTATACCATGGTAATACTAGTGTCACTATGAATATGACAAATTATGTTTTTAAAAACAACCCAACAGGAAAATTGGGAACGCATTCAATTCGAAATTGTTTATTAAATGACCTCCTGTATTCAATTTACCCAATCTACCTACTGGGAAAGTTTGAGGAAGCAAATCTATTTCATGGAATAACTCGCAATTCTCAGCATTTTCATATGTGTTACACATGGCTCAATATCAAATATAAATTTGATAGATTTTCATTATTGTTTTTCAATTTTATTTTGAGGATTCGAAAATATTACATTTTCAAAATAAACATAATTTGTCAAACGACGTTGACACTAGTGTAACTTACCATAAAAATTTTTCATGTGGTTGTTGTGTACAACAATACTTGCTGTTACCTTCTATTATTATACCATGGATAAATACTCTCAACTGTTAGGGATGGAACAAATTTCTGGAATTTCTGGAAACGAACTATGTAGGTAGTGGCTTCTTCTGTCAAATATAACAAACATACGCAACAAATGTTTGTGTTGATTTGAAATTTTTAAACACGTAACTAAAACATGAAAAATGAATGAAAAGTTATGATTTTTTCACAATATCGATTATTTCATACCATAAACTAAGAAAATACCCCCAGCGCGGTAAAAAATACTTTTCATTTCAATTAAATTTGAATATATTTCAATATAATTTTAATTTATTTTACATGTTATTCAAAACACATACACAAAATATGTATTTTGATTTGATAGAACAAGGCACCATGAGAAAAAAATGTAATCAGGCGAATAACAAAGAACCCCGCTTTGTATGAAGTGGCTTCTTGTGTCAAAAAAAAAAAAAAAAAAAAAAAAAACACACACACACACAAGGAACAACAAGTTCTGTTTATTATATATTTTTCAATATTATACGGCGTTTACATTTTAAATATTTACCGGGTTAACCTACTCTATGAATATTTATTTGACATAAAGACAATGGAATTGATAATTTAAACCCACTGGGTTAACGAAATCCGGTTAAATGTAAACGCCGTATTATATATTAAGATGGTAACAGTATCAAACCATGTGATGGTAACATTAAATGTCACAAAAAATTATTTTTTTAGTTCTTCGTAAAATGGAAAAATAACAATATATAAGTTGAAAACATTTGAAAATAAAAAGAACAAAAAAACATTGGAAGTTCCAAAAAGGACCATTTGACCGTACCGAAGACTTCGGGATGGATCCACTACTTATTAGCCGTGTATAATAACACAGAAAAGAAAACATTTTTCGAAGATCATATGTATGTATATCTGTCGTTAAGTAGACGATAGTCGAAATTTAACAAAGAGAGATGGGTTTCAAGCTGCAGAAAAGGATCCCTAATTTGTGATTTTGTGGTTGAAAAGCAGACCTTTTGGTTATATGATAGATAGATAGATAATTTTTAGATAATATAAGAAAAGGTCTTGATCATGTTTTATATGAGGACTATTCCAAAATATAGACAAATGCTGTTTTCAAATAAAATACGTCTTTTGAAACATTCATCCAGAATATTGTGCCTATGTTGCGAACTTTATGGTTCTTGCAGAAATTAAATGTTTTGTATTTCCCTGTGAAGAAATTGGCACTAAAACATTTTTGTATGCCTCTATTTATTTACTATTTTTTAAATATCATTTGAAGTCCATAGAGGCCATTAAAACAACAGAAAAATTGTCCACGTCTTGTATCATTTCCATAAGTTGATTTATATTAATATTTCAAAATATCGGATTCTGATTGGCTGAATGTAATTTGCTTCAAGCAAGGTATATTAGAAGGTAACCGTATCAAGCTGATGGTAACATTATATGTCATACAAACTTGTTATTTTGTTTTTATTTATTTTGTTTTTATTTATTTTTTTTTCAAATCCATTTCCAAATAAAAATTGAACTACATTTAAAAATAACAAAAAAACAAGAGATAAAAATGAAAGGTATAGCGGTAGACCATCGAGATTAGACTTTTATAAGAAAACCATGGAATCGAAAACAAGACTTTGGGAATTACTTTAAGCCATATTTACGAGAACATAAACCAAAATTGTGTTCTCTTTTTACATTTTTAGTGTGCAAGCTTTGATTGCGCGATTTTATATTTTATATACATATTCGTTAGATTCTTATTTAACCCATCACAATTCGAAAGAAATAAAAATACATATTTTAGCTTTTTAGTGGAGACTTTATAAGTTTTACACATAGTATATATTTGGTATCAAATCGAAACATTAAAGATATAAAAGTATAAATCTTTTGATATTTACTACTACAATGACACATTCATTTCAAAAACTGTTATTTGTTCGAATGAAATATATTAAGTTTAAACGGCACACCAAAAACGTCACATGTATTTTTTATGAAAGCAGACATTCTAAATGCATAAACGTTGCTCGATTAATATGAATTATATGTACGATTACGAATAAATGTTTTTCCAACCGCCCATTAAGCTACTATAATATATAAGCATTGTATCCTTGTGTAATATGGAATGTAATTTTGATTATATGTATGTTCTTGTGCTACAATGAAAAGCAAACTCTTTAAAGTTCTGTAGTATTTCCCAGCATCTGAGTGGTAAGTATTTGAACACGCTTGGCATTGCAACTCTTGCACAAAACATGATCGTCAAGAGGATAACAGCCACGCCCTTCGGCCTCGGACGAAAGTAACAAACCGCAATCTTCACATTTGTAACACTCAAAATGGAAGCTTCGATCTAGCGCGACTACACGTACAGTTTCAGTTTCCCCTGGCTCCGGCATAATTGGTTCTTTGCATACACAACAGCATGGAGCAAACTTCCTATGAAAGTCTTCAATGCAATAATTTTGATTGGTTGCATCCACTGTAAATGGTACTCCGTCTAAACTTTTCTTACAAACCACACAAGTGAAGCACTGTGGATGATATGGTTTGCCAGTGGCTCGTAATATACGCTCCAAAATAGGATTCATGCATACCGAACATTTTTCCAACGTCTGCAAATAATCATACTCACAGTACGGCTTTCCATCCAAAGTATAGAAGGGCTTGCCCTGTAGGTTCAGGGCACATTGTGCACATGTGAAACATGCAATGTGATATATTTGATCCATGGCGGTACATCCGGAATTTTCTCCAACAACACGTTCTTTGCATTTGTAGCATATTCCGTAACTTTCCAAATCCTGTGGAGAACCCATCGACTGTACTAAATAATCAGTGAGCGCTTCCACTTCGTCCTCCTTACGACGAGACGAACCGGGGGCCAAAATACCACTGGCACTGTCCCTTGTTGGTTTTGGATATATTGGCATATTAGAATCGATGCCGCTTTCAAGACTCAAATTGCTGCTGTTGCTCTTGCTTAGAATGCCGGCACAGTGTGGCATATTCCCCATACTCCCCAATCCCTTTACACATGACGGATACATTGTGTTGTTCGAATTAGTGGACATTTGACTTGGTGGCCTCGGATTAATTGGCTCATATATCGATTCGTAAGTAGACGATGTTTGAGAGAATCCGCCGTAGCCATAAAAGTCGGAATTGGCAGTTGAATTAGTCTGTTGTTGCATATTATTGTAATTGTTGTACCCCATATTGGACATGTATGGTTTATTGATATATCCTGAATCATTTGCAGCTACATGTGTCTTGTGATCCAATGGTAAACCGTAGCCACTTACGGGTTTGGCAATACACATCTGCTCGTTTGATGTTGGAATTGGCTTATGAGGTGCATTGTTTGTTTTAAATACTTCAGTGGCTCGCCTCAATTCGCTGTAGGACGAACTGACTGGACTGGGAGGAGGCGGTATATCGTCTTCAGGCATCATGGACATGTTCTGAGCATAGTATATACTGCCATCGCCAGAGTCCCTTAGTGGCTGTGATGCAGACGAAGATTGTAGATTGGAATAAATATTGCCTATGTTGCTATAGACATTGTTTTTAATGTTGTTCATACCACCACCAGGCGATGAAAGCGATGGAGAGTTTGTTCGTCTCATGTTCGCGTATGTGGCACTGGAGCTGTCCAGCGATAACTGCGGTTTGATGGGTACATCAGACAAAAGCGAAGTGGATGATAATTTTGGAATTGTCGATAATTTTGGTTTTGGCACAGTAGTGGCGTCATTTCGATTGCTAATTTTACCCATTTTCTCCAATTGTTTTTTATGATGCTCAAGAGCTTCCAACTGTTGTTCCAATATAGCTGGATTGTCTAGTGTCACCTTGGGAGAAGCAAGTAGTGAAGGAATACCTGGTGCTGAAGTGACAGCGGATGTAGACGACTGTTTGCGTAACAACAACGGTTGCTTTGCAAATCCTGCTCCAACTGTTGTGGTTTCATAGTGACTTGCGTCTGGATTATCCAAAATATTCGTTGACTTCTTATGTGGTTTCGGAGGAACTAGTGGAGGACCCACCTTTTTATTGGCAGTGTTATAAATTTGCGCTGAAGACAAATTATTTCTCTCTTCGATGTTGCTAACAAGCTTGGCGACACCAACATGACGTCCTTCTGGAATAGATTCTTTGTTAGATACGGCAACGGATAGGCGTCCATTTATTAAATTTAATTGTTTTAGTTGCTCGTCCAAATCATCCATATTAATCCGTGTTTCATGGAATTTTGTTTGTATCACAGGAGCAGATTTAAGTACGTAGCCGAATGTTTTAACGGCGATTAGAATTTCAATTGGCATTGGTATTTTTTCTGGGTGCTAAAAATCAATATAATGTTAAGGTACAGGATTAACGTGACGTATACGCAATGGAATTAACGTTTGAGATCGATTGGTTTTATTAGTTTAAACGTAGCCTTATATTTACATAAATGTTTATTTACAATAATTTATATTTTATAAGTTCTTTTTATTTTTTTGCACTTATTATATATTATTGGGTTATAGAAATATAGTTCATATAGGTTCAATAACGAATACGTTCGTGTTGATGGGAGAAAATTTGCATTTAGAGTTGCAATTGTTTTCCTGTGACCATAGAATTATTTTCTGTGCACACATTAAATGCAACTATCCTAAATAGGATCATGATACAATAAATAAGGTAATCTCATGCTCACATATGATCAAAATTTGTTTATTTTGACAACCATTCATTGTCAAAGTCCTTTTGACAAACCTTATATGTATGTAAAAGAATACATACACACATTTGTCAGTTTCAGAAAATATAACCAAAACCAAATTTGAAACAAAAATTTGCATTTAAAAAATAATTGGCTATACCAATTTTCGAGTTTTGATTTTATTTTCGTCATAATCCATAAGATGTAGATCTTCTGCTCCCGAAAAACAATGCATACCAACAACAATAAAACCGCCCGTCGCTGGTGGCTTAAATGGCAACAACAATCATGAATTTGATAACCCTTCTCCTGTTGATGAAAGTGGCCACAGTCATATGGGCAACTCCTTGAACAATAAAGAACATTGTCTTATTTGCAACGATGTATCAAAACAATCAAGCATGCTGAAGATTTGAGAGATTTGCATAACAATTCAATGAGATTCAAAAATATGAAAATTGGGACGAAAAATATTCGGTATCGTATTCCTATGCGTCATGTTTACTACATTTATCAAATTTCTGATGGTCAAAATTTATAATTGCATCCATTGATAGGAAGATGTTTAAAGCTACTTTCTGTAGTTAATCGGAAGGTCCCCATATGATTAACCCTTTGTGCCCCCATTTTTTTTCGTAATCATAGAACAATTTTCTTTTCACAGATTTAATAGAACTATCCTAAATAGGATATGAACATTCGGGAGATACAGTATATCCTTCCTGAAAAATAAAAATCATTTTAATTTACATTCTTATTTACAAAAATCAAAAATAATTATGATGGCAGAATTCGTTCAAGTCGAATACGGAACGATTTAAATAATTTGGACCGTATACACAAATATGTACTGTACACATTTTCTCTATTTTGAAAAGCTCGTAACTTTACTAAAAATTTAAAATAAACTTGTGATTCTTTTTCATCAAAAAACTAGGCTGACTGTATTGTTCTGATCTACACCAATAAGATTTTTGAAAATGTTTAATGGTTGGGGACTTTCTGTCGGGTATACACGACTTTTCCTTTGTACAGATGCCAAAGCCGATTTCGACACAGAATTTCCTTTTAAAATAAAATACTAACGAAATTTGCTGTAAAATATTTATTTCATTGTATTCACGACAACAACCGCATCAACATGATGCCACATATTGACATAATCTATTCAACATAAATTGAAAATACATTGGCCCCAACGGAGCTGTGGAAGCCCACACATCAGGAAGCATAGGCTTTCGGCAGAAAATAATTATATTGTTGTTATCAGGGGCTATACCGAATTTCAACTTGATCCGCGACCATCCCAAAAGTTGAAACTAAGCCGATTATTTTCCATTCCTTTAACGAACTTGCAAAAACAAAATTTAACAACAACAAACAACTTGAGGGGCTCAAGTACAAACAACGCATAGTTGTATTTAAATTTTTGAAATGAGGCTACCTTTATTACTTTGCCGTGAATAGGATATGAACAAAATTTAGCCCATCTTTAGATACATTACATTTTTTCTGAAAAATAAAAGTCCAATACCAAGAAAAATGCAAATGCAATATTGATGATAAACACTTCAAACTGTCCTATGGGTTCATTTCTACAATAATAAAAATTATTTGGAAGTTACAATTTGAATACGAAGCGACTTAAATAATTTGGACTGTATACACATATTTTTGCCCTCTTCTCTTTTTTAAAAAGCTCATAACTTTATCAAAAATTTGATTTTTTTTTAATTTTTCTTGAGATATGGGTTGTCCATAATCAGGTGTTGACATAGGAAATCCAAATAATGCATATCTTCTAGCTGTATAATAAATATAAGTTCTAAAACACGTTGTTGCCTGTGGGCAACATTGGGCCTTTAACCCTTTGTGGCCCAATGTTGCCCACAGGCAACAAAATGTTTTAGAGCTTATAGCTAGTAGATATATATTCTTTGGATTTCATATGTCAAGTCCTGATTATGGACGACACATATCAAAAGAAAAATCTAAAAAATTCAAATTTTTGGTTATGTTATGAGCTTTTCAATATAGAGAAGAGGGCAAAAATGTGTACAGTACTAATTTGTGTATACAGTCCAAATTATTTAAATCGCTTTGTCTTTGAAATGTGCGAATTCTGTCATAAGAATTATTTTTGATTCTAGTAGAACAGAATATAGAGAATAATAGAAAATTATTTTTTCGTCGATTTTTTATATCGATTTTTTCGATTTTTTATATTCTTGATATTGGACTTTTATTTTTTAGAAATAATGTACTGTATCTCCCGAATGCAAGGATGTAGTGATGTAAAATTTTGTCTATATCCTATCTAGGATAGTTTCATTAAATCTGTGAACAGAAAATTGTTCTATGATTATGGAAAAAAATTCGGGGCTCAAAGGGTTAAGGGTTAATAAAGAGATGAGGTCATCAAATAAGTGTTTCAGGGAATATTATCAATTTGGATATAAACAAAGAAGGAGAATATATAATGAAATATCATTATATAGAAGGAGGTCTACTCAATAAAAAATGTAAAAATACGAATCTACAGTCAACTATTGATAATGTGAACTAATTATTGTCGGGGTTCATATTTTCGAATTTGTTCACATTTTCGATTCGACCAGCTTATTTACCGCTTATTCCGCTTATTTATCAATACTTTAATGTTAGTTTAAGTGTTCAAATTGTCGAGAGTTCACTGTATTTTTTAATATTTTTTTGTTCCACAAAAGTTTTTGTTTGGTAACCGATGACTAATTCGGCTACCTTTTAAACTATTCTTTTTTTGTTCAAAGCGACACCTGGCTGTAAACCATCAAATCAATAAATACGGTTTGACAAGGGCAAAAAATTGCGCGCAAAATAAACGCAAACAAACAGTGTCCGAAGCTATTGCAGACAACAAACATCTCGGAAGTTTAAAATTAATTTGTATACAATATTATATAGTCCGGCATATAAAATGTATGTTAAAACTCAAGTTGCCGCCTTAAACTTGCCTTCTTCACCTGAGGAATTTGTTGGATCGAACAATGCAGAATTTTGCAAAGCATTTGAAGATCCGCATTTATGGTCAACAATTCCATTGCTTAATTACACACCGCTGCACAAACTGAAAGATTATTCTGTGGTAAGATTTCGTGGTATGATACAGGATATGCTCGATCCCGAAATATATTTGGAACGCTATGAGGTTAAGAAGAAGGATGGTTCCAGTGGATCTGGAGAAGTACGTATGCAACAGGGAAAATATCGAGATTGCTTGCTGTTTGGAAAGGATGAGGAAGTTAATTATCATTCCGAAACCAATGTACAGGGTGAACGACGGGTTCTCTTTGTGGTTTCTATACCGGGAATAAATGATTGGGCTAAAAGCTACGAAGAGGATTGCAACAAACGCAATGTTCCTGAAATAATTGCAGACCAAACTCCTTCTGCAAATCAATCAGTGAAAAGATCAGCTCCCGAGGAAGAAGATATGGATACAGATTGCATCAATGCAGAAGAAGCGTTATCGTGCACAAACAGTGCACAAATGGAGGTTAAGAAACGACAAAAGGTTGAAGTTTCCGCTACTAATGGGAGTAAAGCCTCTGCATCCACCTGCCTCGGGGCGGATTACCTACTTAATTCTCCAATACCCGATCGGCCAAGTAAAGCATGCATGGTTAAGGTGTATAAAGACTTCGATTCATATACCATAAATACAATTGTGGATGTAGTAGGCTTTTTGTCGGTTGATCCATGTTTGGATGGCACTACTATGGACGTTGACTATGACAATGTTGGTGAATTGCAGGCTCAAAATCCACCTCCATCTTTAATACCTCGTCTACATGCCATTGCTGTGCACGTACTGCCGCACGCAAATCCACTGTTGGACATACGCTTGGGCAAAGGAGAGGTGGACAGCCTTAGTGTGTTATCTGTACAGAAGGATTTGCGCATGTTGCTGACATTGTGTCTCTATAATGACGATTTAGCGGCTGACTATTTGTTGTCGCATCTCATTTCGACTGTGTATAGCCGCTGCGAATTGCAAAGCATTGGAAAGTTTTCCCTAAATGTGTGTAATTTGCCAAAGGAAGCTGTGACAGAATACACCAAACAACTCTATGGAATATTAGAGCAGATATTGCCCGCAAGTCATTACTTGCCAATGACATTGGATAACATGAACACTGCAGCATTTGTTCCAAAGTGAGTAATATAATAACGAAGGTATATAAAAATATTCCATCGCTAATGAAACTTACATTTATTACATTTTCAGAAAAGACTATGAAACAAACAAATTAGTATCGGGCTTATTACAATTAGCACCTCATACTCACCTGGTTTTAGATGAAACCCGTATGCAACAGGGTAAATTGGAGGCAAATGGTGTTATGGGCATCCAGAGTATAGCGAATCTCATAAATAATCAACAAATCAAATGTAATTTCCAATACTATGAAATAGACTATAATGTCGATATTCCAGTTTTAATACTGAGTGAAGGTCGTAGTATGCTGCCAGTAAGTACTTTAGTCTCCAGTGCTGACAAACTATTGATTAGTACATCTTTCTTGTTTTAGAGTGACATCTCCTTACCATTGAAAACTGACCCAGAATCTGTCAAATTGATAACAGAGACTTTGAAGGCCGCTAATCATTATTTAAGTCAAAATTCTCGCCTGGAACAATTTAGACGCTATCTAACAAATGCAAAAACATCCAATTTTACTATGAATCCGGATGATACAGAAATGATACAAAATGATTTTGTGGAAATGCGTAAGACGAATTCAGTCACTAGTGCCGACGATTTACATTCCCTTCTGGTGCTTTCACGACTCTTGGCCATTGCTCGTGGAAAAGAAATGTTGGATAAAGAATCATGGGAATTGGCAAAGGAAATGGAAACGAAACGTCGCCAACGTATTTCAGAATTGCCCAAATCTAAATTGAAAACACGACAGCAATAATAATTGTTATACCAATATTATGTTTTTTATTTAATAATAAATCGAATGTATTTTTTATACCAAAATTAATTTTTGTATTTTATTAGTCATTTTCAATATTCTTAAACATTTCCTATTTCCTAGGAAGGCTTAAGGTTTCGTGAACTATTTGAGCCATTTCACGCTGTTGTTATTTGGGGTCACTCTTGGTCCAAAGGGGTCAGATAAGGCTGGATTTTAAATATGGTACTTTTTGGTTTTTGCGAACCAGTGCAGCTAGAACTCTGGGTCCGAATAGTACTAAAATTTACTAAATTTGGTACCTAAATTTGGGTAGACCTAAAAACTTGAAATTTGGAATGCAAATTAAGGTTGAGAAGTATAGTCGATATTAGTAGGGGGTTTTGTGTACGTGTATACGAAAAGTACTAACCTGTACTAAATTTTGTACGATTTAATATTGGAGAAACGGATGAAGCAGGAATCCCGAAAATTTGAAATTAACATTATTGTCGGAGTGTAGTATAGCGATATGTAGGCAGTTTTGGATATTTATATCTATGTGTACAAAAGGTACTACATGGTATTATATTTTTCAAAATGTGAATGTCAGTGAATTGATAGAGCAGGAACAATGAAATTTGGAAATAAGATTACTAGTGCACTATAGAATAGAGGTATGTCGGTAGTTTGGGAAATTCGTAATTCTGTGTACTAAATTTGGTACAATTTGAATTTTGGGTGAACCAATAGAGCTGGAATCCTGAATGTTGGAGTTGGAATTATTGTTGGGGTGTAGGATTGGGGTACGTAGAAATTTTTACTAATGAAAGAAACTAGACCTCAAGCTCGAACAAATATATTGTTTTATTAGTATAATCATCAAAAGATCGAACAAAACAACAGAGAATTTTTACTAATGTTTACTAAATGGTACTAAATTTGGTACAATTTGAATTGAGGTTAACCGATAGAGCTGGAACGCTGTCATTTGAAAATATTGGGCTATGTAGAAAGTTTTGGAAATTTGTACTAATGTGTACAAATGGTACCAAATTCGAATTTGAGTGAACCGAAAGAGCTGGAATATTGACATTTGGAGTTAGGTTCACTGTTGGGCGTTAGATTGGGGTATGTAGGAAGTTTTACAAATGTCTACTAATGTGTACTTAATGGCTCTAAATTTGGTACAATTTGTATTTAGAGTGAACCGATAGAATTGGAATCCTGAAATTGGGTAATAAGATTTCCATTGGATTGCATGATGTCGGTAGTAATGGAAATTTGCACATATGTGTACCGAATGGTACTAAATTTGGGTGAACCAGTATTTGAAATATGGACATTTTTTGGAAATATGTATTACAAGATACAAAGAGGGTAATAAATGATACCTACATTCGTGTTGCGGTTAGAATTGGTGTGTAGTGTTGAGATATGGAGATAGTTTTGAAAATACATACTATAAGAGAACATGGACACTAAATAGTACTTAAATTTAAATTATGGTCGGTATTGGATTTTAAATAATTCCCGAACTTCGCTAACGAATAGCGGGCATATGCTAGTATTGGAAATAAAGATGGACTTGGAAAATGTGTATAATATTATAAGACTGTATTTACTCGGTGTAAACACCGACATTTAAGAGAGTATGTACTTTAACATAACATAATGGTCACCCCATGTTGATCGTTAACCCTCAGACCTCATGTACTTACCAATATTGCTTTAAAAGAAAAAATATCATTGTTTGCAGGGTTCTACATTTAAATTTTATTAAATATAAATTATAATTTATGTTAACAATATTTATATTTAGTAAAATTTAATTTCTACTACTACTACTGAAGCTGATTAATATTTAAATACGATATAATGCTACGTAATACATATAATAGAATTGATAAATATTTTATTTTATGTGAAGTTAATTATAATTTTATTATCTTTTTTATTATACTTAACTTTTATATTTTATATTTCAAAAGGAAAACATTTTATTGATTATCAATGAAGCTGACTAATATTTTATTCTAAACATGAACATGATTAATTTGAAAAATTTTATTAAGACATCGAATATCTTATATTTATTATACTTTTAAGATAATAATTTAGGGTTATTTTTTATTATTACATATATATTTTTAAGACATATAATTGATTAATCAATTTAATATAATGTGTACTTGTTCTCCTGCTAAGCCATATGAAAATAATCATCCAGTTACAAGTTGAAATTGAAAGTATGATTTGTCATAATTGTAGAAATAATAGAAAAGTGAATGAGAAATAGGTTCAGTGCGACCTTAAATGGAAATTGATATTGCTATTATATATCGATTGTGACGTACGACAGTTTTATTGAATTTACCCTTAACTTATAGTTACATACCAATATTATAAGAAGTGGCAAAGGATGAGTATTACATCCGAGGAAGAATATTTGGATTTTTTGAGATACCAAAAGTTTTTGAAAGCATGTACATTGATTCGTTCTTGAATTTTGCTTTAAAGGCTTTTTAAATCTTTACATTATCTCTGGAACTTATATAAATATACACTGATGCCAAAACTAAAATTGCAAAGATAATAAATGTCATATAACTTTTTTTAAAAATAAACATATCGGTTTGGTTATTTTTCAGTTTTAAATCGGGTACTTTCTTCACTTATGAAAAATCTAAAGCATTAATGCTAAATTCAATATGAAGTAAATAATAATTTATGGATAAGGGAAGTTTCTCAACTTTTGTTTGCACAAAACTAAAGCAACTCTACAGTACAAACAGATGAGCTCTAAGATTTATAATTATTTAGTTTTGGTTTCTACACCTATTTCGATTCTTATAGATCATTGGAACGGATGGATGAATGGATGAATGGATTTATTGGTTGTGAAAATAATTTATCACAGAAAATAATTTCGGAGAAATATTCCATGAGAAAAAGCTGTGATTTCTCGAATTATAAGTGGATTTTATGAAACTATATCAATAGTGACAGTTCAGCACAGAGGAAGGCTGTAAAACACATCAGTTCCTACTGATCAACAAATTGTCATAGCAGTAAAAAAATACCCATTCAAGAGTTCAACGGAATTTGTGAGACGGTTATCGTTGGATATAACCTCAAAAAGAGAGCGTGGGCGAGATATGACAGCAGGCCTACATGCCCAAAACTATCAAGAATGTTCGGAAAGAATCGGAAAGCCAGGTTGCTTTTAGCAAAATCTCATACTAATTGGAATCCGACTCATATTCAATATTCAAAAATTAACGTAAGAATCTTGGACTGTTTTTTTTTCTTTTCATGGAGTTCGATTTATTGCTAGATTTATGAAGTAATGCATCTGGATTGTTTATACAAATGTGTTGTAAAACGCTATGGGCCCCATCTTCAAACATGATCTAAGCTTGGTAAAGACAATAGATTGTGCAAAGATTTATAAATATTGAAAAGTGTTTAACTTTTTGGGAAGAGGTTGCAGAAGAAGTGGATCAATGGGTCCCTTTTTCAAAATTGATCTAGGCTTGGTAAAGGTAATATGTTGTGCAAAGTTTGGATCACAACGGACATTCCATTAGCCTGGATTTGGATTTATACATATTGACCCTCTGTGGGGGAGCTATCAGAATGAGTGGACCAATGGGTCCCTTCTACCAACTTCATTTAGGCTTGGTAAAGATAATAGGTTGTACAAAGTTTCGTTAAAATCGGATAGTCCGTTTGCATGTTATTATAAAATTAATTTTAAGCACAATTTAGACCATTTTGTGGGGGAGGTGCCAGAAGGTGTGGACCAATATTCCCCATCTTCGAGCATAATTTGGATTTGGTCCAAAGAAACATGTGGTCTAAATAGATGAGGCACATTTTCACCGTACCAAAGTGTATATACCCTCATAAGGCTCAGCCATAAGTTGCTTTAGTTTTGACCAAGCAAAATTTGGGTCAATTTTGTTCTCCATAGAATTTTCCATCTTCCTACTTCATCTAGGCTTGGTAAAGATAATAGGTTGTTATTTGAAAAGTTCGGGAACGCAAATCTAGTAAATATTCCAAAATTAGAATGCAATACTTCAAAATAGAGGTGTGGAAAAAGAAAATGCTGGGAGAGTAAAAGGGGAAACCGCCATATGAAATGTCTTACAAGAATGGAACGCAGAGAACGAGCTTATTGATACATGGAAACAAGGGCACCAGTTCCCATGCTTGTCCAGCACTTCTTCAAAATCAACATCATGTTTACCATTTTTACTCATAAAACATTTTGAGTAAAAAGTTTTAAAAGTTTCTCTTAAATTTGGTTCAATGCATGACACAATAAATAGGTAGTCCATTTAGCGCAGTTGATGACTGAATTAACTTTCAAAGCGAGTAATTTCTACTTAAATTCGATGTGCAATGTTGCCCACTATGTTAAATATTATATGGAAAAATTTGACAGATGGTCGAGACAAAAACAAATGTTTTTGTTTTGGTACATCACCTTATTATTGCATCATGGTTCAATGTTTTACTAGTTTTGTGGATTTAGGAACCGTTTTCGAGTAAAAGTTGCAAAACTTGTAAAATTAGTAGATTCTTTTAGGTTCTGAAACGGAATTTTTATTTTTACACGTCATTCAATAAGTTTGCAGTTTCAGTTGCTTTACTTTTGGCCACCAGTGTATTTATTTTATTTAACCCTTGAACCCAGATTTGTTTTTGCTGACCATAGAATTATTTTCTTTTCACAGATTTAATGCAACTATCCTAAAAAAGATATGAACAAAGTTTGATGTCACTACATCCTTGCATTCGGGAGATACAGTACATTATTTCTGAAAAATGAAAGTCCAATATAGACCCAAGCAAATGCAATGTAGAAGAATAACTTTAAATTATTTTCCAGGTTATTTTATACAGTAAACATTTTTGGCTTTTAAATAGCTTATAACTTAACCAATAAAATTGAATTTTTTGATGTGTCGCACATCATCATGCACGAAAAAATCTTTAATTTTTTACCACAAAAAGTCAGTCAGCCTACACAGGAAGATTGTT